GGTGAGAGGCCTTCCAATTTCTGACTTGAAATTATACTACAAGGCTACTGTGATAAAATCAGCATGATACTGGCAAGAAAATAGACCTGAGGATCAATGGAATAGATTAAAAAATGCTGAAGTCCCTACAAACACACTGAGCCACCTTGTCTTTGACAAAGGGGCCAAACATACTCACTGGAAGAAAGATAGACTCTTTAACAAATGGTGCTGGGAAAACTGTCTCTCTACATGCCAAAAACTCAAACTTGACCCATGTCTATCACCATGCACTAAAGTCAAAATGGATTAAAGATGTAAACATTAAAGTAGAGATGCTAAATCTCCTGGAAGAGATAGTGGGAGAAACCCTTGAAGACATAGGGATAGGAAAAGAGTTCATGGACAGAAATCAAATCGCATGGGAAACACATAAAGAATTAACAACTTGGACCTGCCCTTACTGAGAAGTTTTTTTCATGTCAAAAGAAATTACCAACAAAGTGAAAAAGCAGCCTACAAATTTGGAAAAAATCATGACAAAATAAGTACTCAGAAAAAGGTCTGCTGTCTAGAATCTATAAAGAACTAAAAAACACTAGGGCCCCAAAATTTAAAGACCCAATCCAGAAATGGGCATCCGAGATGAACACACACTTCTCAGAGGATTAAATTAAAGAAGCGAATAAATATATGAAAAAATGCTCCACATCACTAGCCATTTGTGAAATGCAAATTAAAACATTATTGATATTATCTCACCCCAGAAAGAATGGCTATCATAAAGAAATCATCCGACAACAAATGTTGGAGAGGCTGTCAGGAAAAAGGAACCCTTCTCCACTGGTGGTAGAAATGTAGACTGGTGCAACCCTTATAGAAATCAGTATGGAGACTCCTTAGAAAAGTTAGAGTGGACATCCCATTTCAACCAGGTATTCCTCTATTGGGAATTTTCCCAGAGGATCTGAAAACATCATATCATAGTGATATATGTGTGCCTATGTTTATAGCAGCACAATTTGTGATAGCCAAATCTTGGAAACAACCAAGATGCCCATCACCTGAGGAGTGGTTGAGAAAGATGTGGTATTTTTTCACAATGGAGTATTATTCAGCAATTAAGAATGATAAACTCGAAGCCTTTATATTGAAGTGGATTCCACTTGAACATATACTCATAAGTGAAATAAAGCAGACACACGTGTAAATATCGTATTGTCTCCCTAGTATAAGAACTCAAAAGAAGAAATACAAATAGAAAGGTATAATGCAAGTAAAAGGAAAGCAGGATCTCAAGGACTAGCTAACCAAGAGATGGAAAGGAGAAGAGGTAGGAAACATGAATAGGTCAAGACATACATTATATGTAGAAGAGGGGCAAGGCAATGATCCTATGAATCTTCAGAAGCTTTTTTAATCTAGCAGTAAATTGGAAAGATTCTCACCCTGACTAACTATATATACTGATACCTGTGAACTAAGCAACTGCACTGCAGATGGTAATTTGTAATAGTAGTTTCTTGCTTGCAGTGCCTGTTATTCTGGTCTACTGAATATGGGCTGCTTGTCATGACATGCCAGTTGCTGCTAAGATGTCTCTCGGGTAGATGGTTGTTCAAGAAGAAGGGCATGGTGAATGAAAGTAAGAGACAGGAAAAGGAATAATGTGGGACTGTCTTGATTCAAGATTGTATTTGGTGAGATTTTTGGATTTATGTGGAAACATAAGAAGTATATAATTCTTTATGCCTATTTTTAAAATATATTCTGCTTTTTAAATGTCTTTTATCATATTCTGTAGGGATTTAAAGTTCAACATCTCAATACTCAATAAAAAATACCTGTTCCATATTATCCATAAGATGTTTGATATTCAGAGAGATAGCGAGGTTAAGCTTAACAGCCTAAGTTGTATGGTAATAACAATAAGCTTGTCTTCTTGATGGTTAACCTAAGTTTGCCGACAAAAATTAGAGAAAAAGGAGGGCTGCAAGGAAAGCCAACATTTTGGCCCTAACCTTCCAAGGTCAATTAAGACTCAGGACATATGAGAACCTGTACTATAACGTCATGTCACTCAGTAGTGTCCCAAATTTTCTGATCAAGGAGATTATGGGGCCAAAGGGAAAAGTGATCGATGATGTAGAGTGTGCCTAA